AGGTGCTTAAATCTATGCTAGATGTAAACACTTATATTGCTTATCAGTGGTTCTCAACCTGTGGGTTGCAACCCCTTTGGGGGTATAACAACCCTTTCACAGGGGTCACCCAATTCATAACAGTAACAAAATTACAGTTATGAAGTAGCAACGAAAATAATTTTATAGTTGGGGGGGCAGTCACCACAACCTGAGGAACTATATTAAAGGGTCGCAGCATTAGGAAGATTGAGAACCACTGGCTTAGATGTTTGACATCTTCAACTCTAGTGAATTAATAGTTTAACTGTGTTTTAGTCTGGGTAGACTAGAGGAACAAATCCAGGGGAGACTCGTGTGTATAGGAAAGAGCTTTATATACAAGAGCAATTGGATATTGGGAATATTGAGAAAACGGCCCAGCATAGTGCCCTGTGTCTTGTCAGTAGAGAGTCTCCAAGGGCGTTAGTAGGGAGAGAGTGTCTGCTGCCTCCAAGGAGGAAATCCAGGAGTTCCCAGAATCCTCAGGTGAAGGCCACGCCCACACAGAGGCCTCATTGGCTGTATCCTAATTGACAGGTTAGACTCCACCCCTTCACTCTTAATCCTCAAATGGACACCAGATTATGTAACTACCACCATGTCCTGCTTAGTGAGTGCCTCCAGCCAGGGCCCTGGGGAGATGCAGCTGGAGGGAGGGAGGCTGTCCTGGGGGTGAGCCTGGGCAAGGTGCCGAAGGAACAAACGTGGGTGAGCTTGGTGTCCCCCAGCAGAGCATCGGGGCTTTTAAAAGTGTGTAACTTGTCCAGCCTTTAGCTCAGCTTATTGAATGCACTTCATGTGTCAAATACGATACCAAGCCCTTTATGGACATGATCCCATTGGGCCCTCCCCAGAACTCTTCTTTGAGGGCCATGTGAGTATATGGTCTTCAGTTTACACATGAAGCCGCATGGGTCAGAGAGGTGGGAAGGAACTTGTCCAGGTCGTCTAGGTTTCTGTCTGCATAGCCTGTTGGTCTTGCTGTAATCCTCTACTGTGATGCGCATTGGTATGGCTGTTGACGCAAATCTCTGCGAGTCTAGTGGACAAGTCTGAGAAAGACCCATTGGGTTTCACAGAAAGGTTGGCATTTAAAGTTTAAAGTAGGCCTTAAAATGTTTTTTTAACAAAAGGCAAGAAATCAGAGAATTGTCAGTATGAAACTGTTAAAGACACCATAGCTGTGTGGCAGGACTCAAGATTTGGGGCTGCTTAGGGACTGTCTAGGGACCCAGGCTCTCTTTTCTGCCTAGTGTGGGGTGGTCAGTTGGAGGTGGCGTGATCTGGTCTCTGCTGTGAAGGTTTAACGGGTGGGACTGAGTGGGGGGGCGACTTAAGGGGGTGAGGACCAGTTGGGAGCCACGACCGCAGTTCAGGTTAAGATTAGAGAGTAGGACCCAGGATAGTGGAGAGGGAAGACAAGCCTCGATAGCAGAAGCCAGAATGGCCGGCCCTGTCCACCTGTCCACCTGCCTCATGCCATTGTTAACCAGGTGTTTGGAGTTGCTGGTCTTAACCTGGAACACAACTGAACTCATTTTTTTGCCAACTTGCTCCTTACTCTGCTATTCTTAGTGAGACTGGACATGATCCACATTTATGCTTATGTATGTGTGTGTGTGCAAAGATGTGTGTGTGTGTATTCTGCACTACGGTGTATTAGACATGTTAATGCTACATTTGGCTGCCGACCCCCCCCCCCACACACACACACACACACACTTAAAATATTCTGGAGGTCATTTTCTGAGAGCTGACTAATTCCTTTTGACTGCTGCTCAGTGTATCTGCTAGATGTGCGTGTATTTCACCAGTCCCTTTAGGGTGGACATTTGGGTGTCTTCTGATACTCTGCATGAGAAAGAATGTTTTGTCTCACAATTTTGTACAAATACAAGTTTAACCTACTTCCGAAACATTGAAACTCCTAGAAGAATCTGAAGTCGCTGAGTCAAACAGATTGTGCACCTGTAGCTTTAGTGTTTAGCCCAATGACTTTCCATGTCACCTGTTTCCTGTGCCCCACCCAGCATGAGGTCCCCGGTTCTGAAGGCCACTCTCCTGGGAGGTGGGCGTGGCCGCGTGCTTGGTGTAGATAAATGTGTTTGAGACATTCTGTTTCCTAAGAGCTGTTTTACCCTTTTTTTCCCTCTCATGTTACTGACCTTATTTAGCTGTAGTGCTGCTGATATAGGAAGAGTATTCAGAAAATCAGTCCTTTGTCTGGTGTGAGTTCCAAGTTTGTTGTAGTTATTACCAGAAGTTTTCCTTAATCAGGGATGTGTGTGTCATGTCATGCGTAGAAAAGGCCTTCCCTACTTTATGAGCAATTTTTTAAAGCTCCATCATTTCCTCTAGCATTTTCTGGTTTCTTCCCTGCTCGTTTTTGGTTCATGAATCTTTCAGCTATTAGTACATATTGGGGGCAGGTATGAAGAGTGGATTATGTTTTCTTTCCCCAGTTGTCCCAAATACCATGCATTGAAACAACTCATTCCCCCCGTGATTCAAGATGCCATTAGGTATCGTATGTGTGGGCCTTGCCTACCCAGCTAGGTCATAAACTTTTTAAAGCAAGAGTCAGATATTATCCTGTCTTACATCCCCCATAAAGTTGAGCATAATATTCTGTATACAATAGGAGTGAAGTTCATTTTTTTTTGCATTTTAAGTGGATCTGTTTGGATTTACATGAACACCTGGGCCAAGAAATGAAGGAGTCCTAGTTGCACTGGCCAGGAAGTGTTGAATTAACTGTAAAGTCAGCAGTTCAAACCCACCGGCTGCTAAATGGGAGAAAGATGAGGCTGTCCAGTCTGAGAAAGGCTAACAGCCTCAGAAATCCTATGTAGGGCTGCTTGAGTGGCCATGGACCCACTGGCAATAGGGGGAACAAGAGAGAGATCATAGCCAGTCCCCCGCGGTTCCCCAAGTTCCGTTCCAAGTTGTGATACACCCCCATTCCTCACTCTTGGTTTTTGCGATAATTATTTCCTTTCCTTGATATGAACTTTCTGTTTCTGTAGGTCAAACATTGAGTCTCTGCAATGTCAGGCAGCTTACCCTGTCATTTTAACCGCCTGTGTGTGGATCTCTGGCCAATTCTAGTCTTCGTTCGTTGTGTCCTAATGGACGCTCTGTGTGGGCTTCTGTGGCGTCAGCAGGGGTGAGTTGTGGCTGGCCGTTGATTTTACACTGCGGCTGTTGTGTGACTCTCCTACAGCTTGTTCTCTTGTCCCACGGTTGCTAGACCCCCGGTGGTTTCCACCTGTGACTGTTTTTGACGCACGTGACAAAGATGAAAATATCGATTGTGTTTTCAGTACAAGCTTAATCAACAAACTGGGTTCCCATTTAGTCTACAGAATTTTTTCCGCGACATTGGTTGCATGCTCAGTGTTAGCCTCACTGGTCTTGCCCCGGCTGTTCACCTTTTCCTGTTATCTTGCTTGCTGACCCCTGCCCACCTCATCTTTGCTTAAAGAGTGTAGTGCTCACAGGTGCTACTGCTTTATCTTACGAATCAACCTGTGAGTTCAGTACAAGATGACCTTGAGGACTAGATTTGGGTCTCTGGGGACAATAGTCTTTGGGACTCTTCTAGCCTCAACTGATCCAATAAGTCTAGAATTTTTAAGAAGACTCTGAAGTCTGTTCTGCATTTAGCTCTCCTTCTATTGGAACCTGTCCATCGTGTTCCTGATCAGATGCTATTCAGTAACGGTAGAGGTGGGTACGATCGAGTTCTTCTGTTCTCAGTAGATGAGGTCAAGGCGTGGGGAGACTTTTCTTACTTGCTTTTTTATCTTTTTACTTTGGGAACGTAGAGACCAGTCGTCGTATCCGCGATGGCTGCTCGCGAGCTTTTAAGAACCCAGACACGACTCCCCACTGAGGATGTGGGGTTTCACCTTCACGGATGGTCACGCCAGGAGTCGGAGCTGTTCCCTAAGACTATGGTCCTAAGAAACTTCAGGTTCCCCAACCCAGCTTGTGAGGTGTTTGGGTAGGTTAGGGTTAGTCTGAACGCTCTGTGCTTTATTGTAGATGGGAATATTTGTGGGCATGTGTGCTTGCTGCCTGTTTTTATAAATAAAGCTGTGTTGGGACTGAGCTATGCCCACTTGTTTATATTGTCTACGGTTCTCATGTTGAACGGTAGAGTTGAGTAGTTGTCTTAGAGCCTGCGACGCCTAAGACATTTACTGTTCGGACTTTTCTAGAAAAAGTTTGCTGTCCTGTGGTCCAGAGTACAGTATGTTCCTAGAGATGGAAGTGCTGGGTCAGACCCAGGGTGTGAATCTTTAGCTTTTCCAGATCATGATAAACCGAATTCCAGAGGGGTCCATTCACATGGCCTTTATAAGATTTAGTTTTATCAGATTTTATATTTTTAATGACTACCCAAAAAAATCCCAAACTCACTGCCATTGAGTCTGTGCCTGCTCACAGCAACCCTGTAGGACAGGGCACAACGGAGTCTCCAAGTTTCCAAAACTAACTATTTACAGGAGTAGAAAGCCCTGTCTTTCTCGAGGAGGAGCAGCTGGTGGTTTCAAACTGGGCACTTTCCAGGTCGCAGCCCAACGTGTAACCACTACCCCACCAGGGTAACAATCAATCTGTTGATGATGCGGTTGGCCTGCGGTGGTATTTCATGAGTATTTCCTGACGCCTGCATGGCCTCCCATAGAATAAGGAGCCTGGTGGCATAGTGGCCACACACCGGGCTGCCAATACCGAGGTCGGCAGTCGAAAGCCCGCAGTCGCTCCTGGAAGGACTTACCGTCTTGGGAAAACCCACGGGCACATCTCCACCCTGACCCTCGGGGTTGCTGAATCCCATTGGCGGCAGTGGGTTTGGTGGTATGCTTCGGTGGTTGTGCAGTGTGCCATCTGCTCGTTGGTGGTTCACCCTCGTCAGTGGAGTCCGACTAGTTGATCTCTACAAATAACGTGTGCGCTTTGTGTTTCTGCAGAACAAATCGTGGAGAAAGACGAAGGCCCGTATTACACTCACCTGGGATCTGGCCCTACAGTGGCCTCCATCCGGGAACTCATGGAGGAGCGGTGAGTAGTGCGAGAGGCCGGGGAGGGCGGTCATCTTCCTGATGAAATGCGATTGTCACCAGTGCTTGTTTTCTTCGCCCTGTCCTAGGCAATATACGAGGGGTCCCCCCAAAAAAAAACCAGAATTTTTTCCCCCCAAAGCTATGTATTTAAGCATACTCTCCATTACACTTAGTACATTTGTCAAATCTGCAATACCATTTTTGGAAACAGTTTTCAAACTCATCTGTTTGGATGGCTGACAGCGCCTCCCTCGTGTTTTTTTTCTTCTTCTTCACCTCTTCTACGTCATCAAATCCCTGTCCCTTCATGCCCCTCTGCATTCTTGGGAACAAAAAGAAGTCGCACCGAGCAAGGTTAGGTGTGTCAGGTGCATGGGGCAAGAGAGGCGCACTGAGATGGCTGCGTGAGCATTGTCAGAGTGCCAAAACCAGCACCCCCCCTGCCACAAACTGGGCCTTTTCTGTCGCACACTGACGTGTGATCTTTTCAGAACCTCTAAATAAAAAGCTTGATTAGCAGTCGGACCTGGTGGAGCAAACTCCAAATGCACTATGCCCCTCGCATCAAACCACCAATGAGCATCTGGTTTTTGGGGGGTGCCCCCTCGTATAGACAGACCCGATGATGCTGCCCAGATTGTGGAAGGTTGGCCTGGGGTTCTCAACTTCTCGTGCTCCTGGTTCCTTTTGGCTGAAAGGTCCACCGTCTACCTGTCCATCGCTCTCTTGTTGCAGAACAGCTTTTATCGAACAAGCGAGGTGGCTTGCCCAGCTGAGTCTTGCTGTCTTCCACATGTCCACATGCCCTTCCGTGTGCCCTGTAACTCAGAGTTAGTTCTAGAGCTGAAGGTGGCGTCAGAGTTGGGGGTTTTTTGGTCTTTTTTCCTCTGAAGTCCTCCATGGGTCCACTCAAGAAGGGTGTGATGCCCCATTTTTGACAGGCGGGGAATTATTCGGGTTTTAGCAGTCTGAGAGACTGGAATAGCTCTCTTGTCTGGCACAATGATCCAGGTTTGGAGTATATCATGTCTGAGGACTTCTGGTCCCTTTTACCGGAAGAAAAATATTTAGGGGTCAGAATCTGGGTGCTCGCTGATTGAATCCCCCCCCCCCCAACTAATTGTTTCATGACTAAATGCATCATGAGTTTATAATGACGCTTCCAATTCAGATTTGGACTAGAGGGTATTTACTGAACACTTCTGTTTTTAGTTTGTTTTTCTTTTAAGCCGTTTCTATAGAGACTTTAAAATGGCCACATCGGATACAAATATATCTGCTTCCATCCAGATTTACACCCTCGGGAATCCGACGGGAGGGTGGCTGAGAGGCAGGGTGGACATCGACGATGGGCTGGGTTGGTTTGAATGCTACGCTCGGACCAGGAGCAGCGCAGGCTAGGTCTGCTCCGGCACAGTTCTCCCCGGGTGTGAGCGCCCCGCGCTGCCCGGTTCAGAACCACACTGGGTGGTTGGGAAGATACACACTGAGCCTGGAGCTGGCCACTTCCTGCCCAGCTTTTGTGCGATTCCGTTTTCATACCTGCCACATGGGCAGGAAGATTAAAGGGAGAATACATGGCCTTCATGTGTGCCAAGCACAGCATGCCCAGTGCTCACTCAGCAGTGTCGAGAGTGGGCAGTCATCTTCTACCTCGTTTAACAAACATTCGTGTTTTAAGAATAAAGGCAGAATATGAAGACCCAACTGTGTTTTACACACCGATGGAAGCCCGAGTGGTTTAGAGTTGCCGCAATTGTGGGAATCAGATTTTTATTTTTTAAACACTGACAAGGGAGCCAAATTAATCTTGGCCTTAACCTAATAGGGCGCCTGGGTTTGAACTCTCTTCCCGGGATCAGAGGTCAGGGATGGAGGGCAGGGATCTGCTGTGATCACGCTCAATTATCCCGTGCCATCTGGAAACGCTTACAGTCAAAGTAGCCCAGCAGACAAGCATCAGATCAAAGTCTCATGCCGAAGAGCAAGCCTGATTTCAGGGGGGGCTAACAATGAGCACAAGAAGAAAGCAGTTTGAAATTGATGGGGGAGATGATCGCACAAGTCACCTTAAAGGACTGAGCAATTTCATCATTTGGTATCTGAAGTATATGCTAATCTAGTTTAAAAAGGGGCGGGAGGGTGGGTGGATGGCATCTATTGTTTCCTTTCTGGGTCCCCAGCTACAGCGTCCCTGCGATGAACAGTCACAAATGAATGAGGGAGTCCGTTAGCTGTAGCCTAACTGTCACTCAAAGTTCATTGTGATAGGAACTGGAGGTTCTGACATGGATTTTCAGAGAACTAAATTTGCTGTTCACTCAAGATAAAAATAATAATGATGGGGCAGCGCATTCAATGGAGGGCCCCTGGTAGCACAGCAGGTTAAGTGCTCCTCTCTGCTACCTGAAAGGCCAGCTGTTCAAACCCCACAGCCGCTCCAAGGGAGAGAGATGAGGCCGCCTGCTTCCATAAAGACTCGATTCCTTGCGAATCCCCGTGAGGCAGTTCTGTTCTGTCGGGTCACGCCGCCGAGTGGGAATCGCCTGGACGATGAGTTCTTGGTGTCTGACTCCACGACAGTGAACTAGAGTTAGAGCCCTGTTGTCCTAGGCGCTTTGGGGCCCCAATGGTTACGCATTGGGCCCCTCCTTGAAAGGTCAGCAATTTAAAACCACCAGCTGCTCCGTGCTTGCAAAGAGTTGGTCTCAGAACCCACACGGTTCTGTTCTCTGG